TGAAGGCACTGTATGTCTGCTAGCTAACTAGCTACACGGCCACACTTAATTTACTTTAATTTTCTGTTTTGCAGCCTGCAAGCATGCAGATCTTCGTTAAGACGTTGACGGGGAAGACCATCACCCTTGAGGTCGAGCCCAGTGACACTATTGAAAATGTCAAGGCAAAGATTCAAGATAAGGAAGGTGAAAAAATGTGAAATGAAAATCTCCTCTGCATTTGCCAAGTTTTACGTGGACTTTTGTATTGCTGGTCATTTATCATTTATCTGTTTCATAACAAGTTTAAAAACATGTTTAAAAAATTGATAAGTCACATAGTTATGTTACTAGCAGTTCATCTTTACCTTATGTTCACTAATAAATTGTACGTTTGAACATGTGAATTAACTTTGTATTGTAATTGCGATAGGTTGTTAAGTGAAAACTGTCTTGTTTTGCAGGTATTCCCCCTGATCAGCAGCGTCTGATCTTTGCTGGAAAACAGCTGGAGGATGGGCGCACACTGTCAGACTACAACATCCAGAAAGGTGATTGCTCTTACACAAGATGTTTTATGTGGTAGATGGACTTCTGATTGTAAAGTAAGGCTCTGGAACTTATTCAACAATGGGAAACAGCACTGAAATTAAGCATTCATTTTCATGTGCTTTGATATGCATTTTCTCAATTTCTGGGTAATGTATTGTAGAATGCTTTTCAAAGCCTGCATGTAGATACTGTTCTGAAGGCTGTAATTGTTTTACGTTCACCAGAGTCAACCCTCCATCTGGTTCTTCGTCTGCGTGGTGGCATCATTGAGCCTTCTCTCAGACAGCTGGCCCAGAAGTACAACTGCGACAAGATGATTTGCCGCAAGTAAGTCCAGTGCAAAGCATGACAATCCTACAGTGCTCTGATGTCTAGTAATATCTACAGTTTAGACTACACTATACGTAACATTTTAATGTTGTGATTTAATCACGTTTAAAATCTTGTTAAATCACAAGTGGGTAGAAAATGCATGGTTTCTTAACTCAGAAATTATTTATTTCATTTTAAAAAATGTAAGTTAGTTCAGGGGAACTGTTCTCAACAGCGAGCACTTTGTTTTCCAGGTGCTACGCCCGTCTGCACCCTCGTGCCGTGAACTGCCGTAAGAAGAAGTGCGGACACACCAACAACCTTCGTCCCAAGAAGAAGCTGAAGTAAACGTCAATGGTTGGATTGGCATGGAATGCCATTTTGTGGTAAAATAAATATAAGAAAATGAAATGATGCTGCGGATGTGTTTTTATTAATCAGTTGTTTGTCTCCCCTAAATAGTAACGCAATGCCATTATAGTCGCTATAAAATTCCCTTTACTGTTCACTAAACTATCCAAAAAATGAGATTAAAGAAGCTCACATGACTTGAAAGTAATTGAAAATCTGCCATTTCTTGTATACTTTTGATTTTTATAGTGGAGTGTGCAGTTTCATTTTTGGTACTCATTAACTCTTGCCCTACACAATATGGAAAATAAACAGTTCACAAACATGGTTCCCGAAGTCAAGAGTTCTCCATTGGCAAAAATAGTTGAAAACGTCAACTTTTTTATAACTTTGCATATGGAAAGTTGTCAAATCAGTATGATTTCAGTTAAGTTTGCACCTAAAGGAAGAAAAAACATTTCATTAAAACATTGTTCTGTGTCTGACAAAGAAAACAACAAGGACTTTGCATGACAAGAGTTTTAATGTTACAATTCTTTACAAATATAAGGAAATCATCTAATTTTCAATACAAGCATTTGCCCCCTTCATATTCAGTAACCATCGTATTTGAGTCTTGCTCTCACTAAGCAATTCTTGATTGAAACAACCTGAATTCATTAAATTTTGAGGTATTTAAAGTCTAACTGATGTGTCAAATGTTCTTGATCATAGAACGGTTAAACTTAAGTTAAATGAGCATTTCAATGGCAATGAAGACTAGTTGTTTCACACGTCTTTTTTTTTCCAGTTGATGTGGGTCCTGCATGATCATGGTATGTTCTCGGTACTGCATTTTGTCATCAGCAAGGAAAAGTCCTTATTCTAGTGTATGAAAGGAGGAATCCCCAACAGATATTCCTAAATAATTGAGGTTGAGCCTCTAAAATGAACAAAACTGTCTACTACCAATTAAGGGCCGTATAAAGGCCTGTTTTTCCCCTGTTTAATACATGTACTACATGAATTAAAGACATTATAAAATCCAGAATGGCTGAGAGAAAATGCAGCATCCATCAGAAGCAGCACTTTGATCGGACGTATTTGGTGGAATTACTCTACATGGCCGTTGACTAAATCCACTTTCTGTTAATAAAACGCTGTTGATCATGTTTTAAACTTACAGATAAAAAACAACCATTTGATCAGAAATGCAAGAGGCTCATATCTGTGTGTGCAGGATATTGTGGCCGTGCAGAAAAAAAGCTTGTGATCTGGAGCGTCTGCCATCAGTTACGTGGGCTCACACAGCTCCTGGCATTTCTTTTTTTTCTCTGTGCTGGTTAAATTGCAGCAATTCCTTATGCGGTGTGACTTGTACTACCTATTAACAGGCAATTATGCTAGAAGTGTTATTGCTGACTCGGATACCCGCTGATTTCAGAGCCAAACCAGGGAGCTGAGATGTCTCTTCATAGTGTCAAAGACTGCCGACATAAACGTGTCAAACGCGGCTCTCCCTAAATCCCTACATTTACCACCAGCGGAACAAGCCACAAAAACGCGAGTTCAGGTGATGACGGGTGCTGATCCGTCCCGCTGCGTTTTATTACACAAACAGTTTTCCCATCGTGACACGTTATAACCAATCAGTCTACGCCATCCAGGCTGCCCAGAGCTGCACCTCGTTGGTACCTAAATTGCGGTCACATGAAGAAATCAATAACTCATCAGGGGCGGAGAAGCAGGGATCAATGGATTTTGTGCATCTGAAGTTCACGTCTAACTCTGACAGACAAGTCGGTTAAGTACCAATCTAATACGACTACTGCAGCCGGACTGCCCTCACTGGAGCAGCCTCAGGTCACACACACACATACACACACACACAGCGCTTCACATTCCTTGGCAGGTAAGGGCTTTCTGCAGAGCTCATGCAGTATTCTTGTAGTGATCTATGCTCTGCGGCCCTGCAGAGCTTCTCTCCCTAGGATTCTAACTACCGTTATAGTGTTGAGCGACACAACAAAAAAAAAAGTACATAAAAGTCTCGCTGGACAATCGGATGAAGACTTGAGACATGTAAACAAACTCAAATTTGGCACAGACATTATCAAGTGCAATCACAGGTTCAAATCAACATCATGGAGAGAGAGAAAAAGCGGCGTGCCGGACACATGGGGACGGTTACCGGCCTTTCAGCTCCTGGACCAACAGAAGGGGAGCAAGAGGACACGAATAGCAGCTGGAAATTGAATTTAGCAGTTTTTTTTTGTCTTTTTGTTTTGGCTGAAAATGTGCAGACGCGCCATCCCGACTGGCGAGAAAGCCGTCGATGGACGTGAATAATAGAATGAGTGGTGAGGGAAAAAAATCTGTCCGTACAAAACAAGAAGAGAAACTGTTTGATGCTGGCGATCCTCAGAAGTCGGAGCGGGAGCAGGCTGCAGCACCGATGAGACGGTAGTGGATGTTCTTGCCGGCCTGATTCCAGTCCCCTGTGAATGGAAGCGAACTGGGGCCCACTTTGCTCAGGGTCTGTTCGTGTGTGTCCATGCCCTGACCACACGCCTGCAGGGTGCATCTCCACAGAGTCACTGTACGAAAACCGCTGCTCAACTTGTATGGTTAGAGTCATATTTGCGGAAAATCTTAACGGCAACGATTCACCGGAACATGTAAATAAATGGGAAAAGACTCTTCAAGCCTCAACAACACCAGAGCACGGTTTTATTGAGCTTCCCTGTTGTTGAATCACCACGTAAGATTTATGAGAAATGACCTCCAGCTTTCATAGAAGTGTTACTTTATCCTCTCTGTCCAGACTTGCTTCAGTGGTTATTTAAACCCTTTCAAATTTAAGTAGAGATTTATACATTTATGCGTGATAAGCCTATTCTAAGGAAATCAATGAAAAACACAAGAATTTCTGACCAAATATAAACCTTGGAGCTTTTTACACTGTCCCGCCAAAGCATTGAAAAGACAGAAAGGACGCTGTTCCGCCAGACCAAATCCGTCTAAATCTTTCCGAACATCCACTTGACATGTTCCACAGATCTCACAGAGCAGCAGCGCACGAGAATGCAAATGCCTACGTTGGTGAGATGTTCCTCACGGCCCCTAGATGAAATCTCCCGCCCCTCGGTGGGTGAATAAGTGTGCAAAATATTTCAGCAACGATTCTGGAGCAATCTGCTGTGCAAGTGTATCAGCTGGTGAGTCGATCCCGCCCCCTGACCTGTGTGCTGTCCACTCCGTTACCGCGGAGATGTATAGATACATGCAGTGCACACACATAGCCATCATTTAAAAAAAACCTCACGTGCTATCTTTATGGTGTTGTAAAGAAAATTGTGACATCTAGAGTGTAATTTCTGCATAATGCGCTCTCGCTTATCCTCTCAACAGCTGCTCCCCCCCCCCGCCTCACATTTACAGCCCACTGAACTATCTCCATCGGAAAGCCTTCCGGTTTGATGTGCGCGTGTGAGCCATCAACAGCCAGACCCAGCCGTCCACACGTTCTCCCGAACACCTCGGGTTTCAACGCGCCACATCGGCTCGCCGTGAAAAATAAAACTGAGCCGGGGCAATACAGATGATCTATTCCGCGCATTGCACCTTTAAGAAGTGTATGACAGCTGCTTTTTTTTTTTTTTTTTAACCAGCAAAAAAAGCAGACAAATGAGCAAGTCAACTCTGGTGTTATTCCCATCCCATTGCTTGGATCTTTGCTCTGCTGTTGCACCAGTTAAACACAAATCAGTGCCACACGGAGCAAGCTAGTGCCCACTGTGGAGATGCACCCTGGCCCCCAGCTGGGGCTACTTATCCACCAGCTTTGCCAGGCTCGCTCTCAGGCCCTTCAGATCACAGATTTTGATGTCCAGATCCTCGATAATTCGTCGAACTTCCCCCTCTGTCTGCTCCTGCTCTTGCCGCTTGGAGGCCAGTGTGTTTTCAGCCGACTGGACGCGGGTCTCCAGGTCTGTGTTTCGCCTCTCCAGGTCCTGCAGATACATCATGTCGTTCATATATATTTTAAACAATTTGGAAAAAGTAAATAAATGAACAAGATTTTAATCACATATCGCTCGACAGTCCGATATAAAGATGTTACAACTATTAATAACTGTTTTCATTTTTTACTTGGTCAGCCTAATTCCTAATAAAGAGTAACGCAAAGCTTTGGAAAACATTTTCTTATCTTTACTCATGACATATGAATAATAATCTTTGTTCATTATCTTTTCTCTCAACCACAACAGAACAGAATGAGACAAAAAAAATACTCTAATCTTCATAGTTTAACAATCAGTTCCTTGTTAAAGTGGTAATACATGCTTTTTTTGACTACACATAGAGCTGAGGTGGGAGTACTGCGGAGGAATCCAGCCGTCAGCTTACCTGAAGTCTTTCCATAGCCTCCTCTTTCTCCTTTTCCAGCTCACCTACATCTGTTTTCTTGCTTTGTAGGCTTTGAATTTCCTGAAAACACAGTCATTTAAAGCCATTACACCTCGGCCTCCCTGATGCCCTCACGGCCATCGTCCCTGTCATTAAAGTGTGAGCCATTCATCAACCGACGGCATGAAAATGCTTCAATCCGAGGCCAAATGTGATCAAACAACAGAGAGATTGAAACGTACCATTGAATCTTTGCATGACTCATTTTGGTATAGGTGGAGCTTATTAAAATTACAGCCTAGAAGTTAATGAGGCCGGACAGCAGCAAAATGCTTTTACGGAACATTTCCCTTTAGATAAAATACATTTTTTGGAGCTCTGAGCCCCGAAATGTCAGCTCCGAATAGCTTGTTATCTTACTAAATAAAATATCAGAAATTATCAATCGGGTATGTTTGGGATTTTGAGGGGATTTTTAAGCTCTTTTTACCCTTATTAACTCACAACAGCAACACAATACAAAGGTTAAATAAAAAAAAGAGCCATCATTTTTGAATGACTTAGTCAGGTTGACACCTCTCTGCCTCATAGCCAAATGCATCCAAAGACATCAGATTTGTTGTGTTTCTTGGAATTTTGCTGTTGTAACGGAACATCAGACTCAAACATCCAGCCACCATTAAAATGCACATTATGCATGCTGTTGCACTTGGTGCTAGCTTTCTCCTCTCGTTTGAATCACGTGAGATATAGATTTCCATAGCACGCAGAGCGGAGAGACAGCGCTGCTGTCTTGCCTGATCTTTGACGCTCAGCAGGGCTTCCAGCTCCTCCAGTGACCGACTCAGCTCCTCTTTGCCAGGCTGACCAGCGGCAGGATGCCCCAGCTGGGCCTCCAGCTCCGCCACCTGGAACACAAAGTCACAATGAATAATTCTTTCTTAATTACGGATGTAGCCTCCTTGACACTACACAACAAAATAAGATTTAAACTAACCACTAACTTGGGTAAATAAATCAATTAAATCCATTACATGACACAGGCTGTTGAACTGTTTGAGAACTGACGCAATAAATGTCACTCTGTCAGATCTAACATCTAAATATCTGTTTTTTCAGGTCACTTTATGTAATTCAGGATTTGCAGCGTAAGTAGACCTTAATCACTGATGGCATGATTATATGAGCCGGGGCACAGCTGTAGAAATGCACACCCCACGCTCCAGCAGAGGAACACCTTTGGATGGGGAAAGCCAGAAGGAGGCAGCCTCAAAGAGGCTTATTACTGATGTCATGTTTGTTGCCAAGCAGACAGCTGGTTGCGTATATATTTCCATACAGAGAAAGGAGGGAGCTTCTCATCGTAATAACCTCATAAGTCAACGTGCACACGGAGAAGCAATTTCATAACCAGTGTAAACCGACACACAGCGCTGTCCTTTTATGATGGAAAAAAAAACATTTAAAAAGATTCTACAAAGCCTTTTTGAAACAGGGAGGGACCACATTTATGGTGGATCTTTAATCAAAGCAGAAATTGGGTGGCAAAATTTCTCAAGTAAGAGAAAAAGCTGTTTTTATTGTCATCTTATTTCTTTGTTTCTATCAGATTAGTCTTTACTTACTCAAATAATATTTTGTTCATTGACGCTTTTTATTCATATATTTGATACCATGTTAAAAATGTACAAGTATGAGAATTAACCGTGCAAATAAATCAAACCAAAATAGGGTAATGTACTTTGTTGTCCTTCATTTAAATCTATGCACAAAGCAAATGATGCCCAACACTAGTTTGTTAGTATTTTTCCATCCATCGGGCATTTTTCTGCATTGCAATTTTCAAATAAGTGATTGGAATGACAGACTTTGTTTATTCCACATCTCATCTCATGGTGCGCTCCACCACACAAACAAACAAACACATCCACAAACAGTGATGCTTTTGCGGAAAATTCGTTTTTCTGCCAGTGGACACTGTGGCTGATGCCCTTCGCCTTGGAGAATTTTGTAATTGGTGGATTTGACCTGGGGAAAAAAAGGATTTTTTTCCCCCAATATGACCCACTTGCCCGAGTTAAACATAGTAACGGAAAAGCTGCAGATTGTGAATGGCGGTTTGACTAAACAAGGGCAAACTGTTCAGCATCTGAGGTCTGAACATGATGCAACATAAAGTTCTGAGGAGCAACATTTCCATACTCTCTGTTTCTACAATCACACCAAAGCACTGACTCACTGATAAGATTAGCAATTCAATTACCTCTGGGCTTTGCTAACCTCAGACTATAGCAGTGATCGCCGTTTTTCACACAGCAGCTGTGATCATATTAAGGTGTCCAATTAATAGGACTGTAAATGTGAACAAAGTCTGAAACTGAAGCATTGAAAAAAAAAAACAGCTCTTTACTTGAAAACTTGAAAGGCTCACACTCCATCACCACTTTTTCACAGTTTTAATCATGTTTTCATGACTGCATAAAGCGTTGCCTGGATTTAAGTGTGGACTGCTCGCTGGCATCCATGAAACCAGATGTAACACTTCCCACTTAAAATCAAATTAATATTAAAATATTCCTCAATTGTCAGAGAAACACCTGCCATGAGTGTTTCTGAATCTGAATCTATTAAATCCTTTAGAGTTCTGGGTAAATTAAGTGTTTACTAACATTCAATAACCTAAATAAGTTACAAATATATATTGATAGATAATAGCTTATCCAAGAAATGAATGCAGACCACTGTCTCTTCTTTCAAGTTGCCCTCTCTTTTTTACAGAGATTTTGAAAATGGAAGACTGGCAATTTCACACCAGGCCACCGTGGCATTCAAATCAAGCTTCTGAAAACCACGGCAAGCTGAAATATGGAATTGTCCACGTGCTTTCCGAGGCCTCAGCCCTTTCGTATAATCTCCTCTCTGTGTGCATGTGCTTGTGACAGCAACTGCCCTGAGAGGCATGAGCTCCATCTCTCTGAACTCCACACAAACAGTCATGAGGAAAGAGAGCCTGGAAGCACCATGATGTATCGGTCTAATTTCATGTAACAAGAAACATCTGAATCGTAGCAGCCTAATAAGAGGCTGAAACGATTACCCTCGTGACGGCTCAAGCAATTTCAAAATGTTGCATATCACATTAGCAATAATGTTTTTCTTAAAATGAATTAACACACCCGCACACTTCTACCTCAGCAGATGATGTTGCACTTGTGTAAACCAGGTTTTTGATAATAGAGGTTATACGAATCAAATATAATTTAGTCCTTTCTGTTCATTCTCTAATGTGTATCTTCTGTAAACCTTCTTTTTTTCCCCATACAGACAACACATCCAACGCAAACAACAAAAACTAAATAGGCATTATTTCAAACAAATAACGCTCCATAGAAAACGGTAAAAACATTAAAATATCCTATGCCAGGCCCATAGCGGTGTCAGTTCTTGGGGAACCTGAAGCGAGGTCAAAGTCAACCCAGAAACCCAGAAAATAAACCCGGAGCCATTCTGCGGAGGATCGACACAAAACGTGGCAGGAGCCGAGCGTGTGACAAGGGAGAAGTATCCGGCCAGCCTCTCTCCTTCTGCTCCTCCGGTAATTTATCTTCCTCCCCTAACTGGGACAGGAGGGGGAGGGGGTGGGCAGTATAGGGTGTCCTGTCCCCAAAAAAAAGACACACACACACACCCAAAAAAAAAAAACCCACTCCTGCTCCCCTCAGTATCCCACTGCCAAACCCTGGAGGCCTGCTCTACTTCCAGCCACCTGGTTGACTTTGCTGCAGCTCTGTGTGTATGTGTGGCTCTGGGAGTGTGTGTGTGTGTGCAAGGGGGGGGGGGGTGTTGGTAGTATAACCTTCACCTGCACTTGTAGACACAGATGAAATTGATTAAACCACACCTTGAGCTAAAAATAAAGGGCCAGTTTCCCATCACTAATGATAAGGCTTTGACTGCAGACTGGATGGCAGCAGCACTTAATTCTGTCCCATTAAAGAAGCTTTGTTAAGCTTGACCAGGGGCACAGCGTCCTCTCTCTGAATTAAAGATGAAATGTCTGCATCCTGGGCCTGCGATTATCACGGGGGCCTGTCAACAGAAATAGAGGAGGGGGGCTGGATGACAAATGATTCTGCAGTTTGAAGCAGTCCGTCGGGGAATTTGAGAACGATAGCTCACACCTTTCAGTTCCCGTCTAGGTGGTTATTCAGTACAGAAATAATGGGAGGGTGATCCATAAAAGTAAATCTAATGTTAAAGCTCAATCGTTCTTTAAAAAAAGTTTTTTCATTTATTTTTGGCTCTTAAACCTTTGCCTCTTCAATGCACTTACTATAGAGAAATCAATGGGCTTTTATGTCTTTTCATTTTATCATAGATTGCATTAAATGCATCTAAATTCACAATGTCAAAATCGACTCCGCTGCCCTTAATAAAAACATATATAAAAATTGATTAATTTATATCAGTACAACAATGTGGGAAAGAAAACAATCTAAAAGTCCAAAATTGTGCATACATGTTTTTTTTTTTTACACACCACCATTTAATTTTAGGTTTCTTGGATAAACCGTCTGCTAAATGTGTACCTGTAAATGCAACTCCGAATTGACAGGAAATTGAAAGGTGAAAAAAAAGACACGAAAAATAAATGATCATCCGCTCACAAAACATCAGAGCTTTGGCCGGAGGTCCTTAGCTGGATTTTTCTGCTTTAGCTGTAACAGATGAACGCAAAGCCTGAACAGCATGCAGATCCATGTGGCGATGATCAGGAAGAAGGTACACACTATGTTGGCTGGTTGCTTAAACAGTCTTAGCCTGAAGCATCAAATAAACAATCTCACTCCAGAAAATAAAAAAATATTTTGAGATACTTTCTATTTCTAAACCCTGAATAACAAAGCCTCACAGGCATTAAAACTGTGTTACATGGTTAGAGTTATCTGAGGCCCTCACAATTAAATATATAGTGTGTTATAGCATTTCATACTCTATTAGAAAATAGTACAACTATCTAAACATGCGTATAAAAACAACTGGGATAAATTATGATATAAAAAAAGAATGAAAACCATCATACTATGGTTCCATCTGTGGAAATTACTTAAACACAACACTTCAGTGAAACACAAATTGCTTGGAGCACATAACAGCGATTAACCCTTCTCTTAACCTTTTCCTGAGATCTTGCTGGACCTCTATACAAGACATAAACAACTTTTTCTTATTCACTCAGGTAACATTAACAAAGCCACTTGTGGGGTGTTGTTCCATTTTCTCTCTATAAAACATCAGGCCAAAAGTCAGAAGCAGTCCCAACCATACAGCAGGAGTCTTAAAGTACCATCTCAAGCAAAAACAGGAAGACCAAATATTTGCAGTTGAGGGGTTGGTCTTGGACTACAGGAAGAGACAGACCATAACAAAACACCCCAAGTCCACAAAGAATGATCTGAATGTCTTCAAGGTGTGAAACTGTATATATTCCAAATGTCTTAAAAAAAGGAGTGTATCAAGTAATACTGGAAATATTTAAAAGGTCAAATATATTAACATTAAACAATGACTCTGTTTAAGTGTTTTCTATATTGATATTTCTCCTATTACCCTTAGTGAAAAAGAAATTAGATAGTTTCTCCATATGCAGCCTTAAAAGCAAAAACTGGTTACTCCAAAATGCTTTTACCTGCAGGACTCCGATACCTTGCGTTAGTTCCACTCACCTGATCTTTGAGGCGATCCGTCTCCTCCTGGTATTCTGCCAGCTGATTCTTCCACTGCTCCACGCTGCTGTTGGCCTCCTGCAGCGCCTCCACCAACTTGGCATTGCTGTCCTGTAGCGTGAACAGTTCAGCTTCCAAGTTTATGTCACACATGGACCTGGGAAGAGTTTAGAGAAAAACACAAATATGCCATTGTAGTTTATGTCTCAAATTATATTTTCTGCTCCTGCCTTGTTGCCAGTTGCTCCAGAGAGGACGATTATGGCTGTGTTTTTGTCAGAACAAAGCCTGGCTGATGAGAAACAATAAAGTAAACTTTCTGATAGTTTCTGATTAGATTGAAACTTGGAAATACATCCACTAGCTCCAACCAAGTTTGATGATTTTTAAAGCAAACTGGAGGGGGGTGGGGGTTTCACAAAAATATCAGAGCTTTAAATGAAATCCATGTTGTTGTTTTTGTTGATGCTTCACCAGAGCAGAGAAGTGCCTTTATCTGTGAAATATTACACCACTGGGCCAGATACAAAAACCACCAACACAAAACAAGTAATGTGCTCTCCTTTATTAAGATGTGGGAGAGATTCAGCAAAGGTCAGGATTCAGAAGGGGATATCTAATAAACCAGGGAGCTTTCGGCTGAGAAGAAGGAGCTAAGTGTTTGCCATGGCGACTACACTAAGAGCATGGCTACCATAAAACCACTCACCATGGCAACAGGAGACAAAAGCCTGCCTGGACAGGCATTATAAAAATCATAAAACAACGCTGTTGGGATAATAGGCTGTAAAGCATCTGAGGGCTGCTTTTCTGGTCTCGTATGGATGGTTGAGTGATCAATAATGGCCACCTTGATGCTGGAAATAATGTTCTGGTAAATTCAGCAGCACTCACATCTTAATGGTCTCGAGTTACAGAGACACAAACAGAGATTAAATAAGCACTTTGGGTAAAACCTTAGGTTTTGAGAGAGAAAACATTGTTCAACTGTGCAAAGAAACGCATACGAACATAACCCTGCAGAACTGGGGAGTGTCCTCCTGTATTATGGTAGGCAGGCGGAATGTTCTTCACTTTGTGGTTAGATTCTACACTTCCACCATTGATCCATTTCTAGGTAACAATCTGTTTAATTTCTAATTTCATTTTAACATGCAAATTCAGTCAGCATACAGTTATTTTACACAATGTTATTTCAGTTTTTGCTGCACATATGTTGGATGATAGTACATTCTGGATGCCTAGACCTGTATCTGTTTCTTCCTAAAGCATGCAGGGCACTGTATGGTGCAAAGATCTGAAGAGCCCTCAAGACAAATCAGAGATTTTAGGTCATATGAATAAAAGTACTTTAATCTGACCCAGTTATCTTTTGATAAATACACCTCATCCATTTAGTCAGGAAAATTAAAAGCAAAGGATGAAAAAATATTACAGACTATAGCTGCTCATTACCAGAACAAGACACATTTATATAGTTCCAGTTAGATATTGCTCTCCTATATCACCCAGCAGGCAATTTAAGAGGGAAGTTTCAGCTGTGGTGATTTGTGATTTTGGTTAACTTTACTGGATGAATTGTTGTACAAGGTCTTTTCCTGAGGTGGAGCACAAACAAAAAACAAAACATTGAAACAGAGCTGTCTAATCTATTTCATTTCCCCATCAGAACATAATACATTTTTCGAAAAAGTCTTAAAATTAGGTACACAACTTCAGAAGAACAACTAAACAACACATTTAAAAAACCCTGCATGTAAAAGTATGTACACAAATCTTAAAATAGTATCTTTAGCAAAGCAAGGAGAGTAAAATAAGTTGACTGACTCTCCTGGGACTGCTGCATTCTCACTACAAGCCCAGTAGGAGGTGCAGATGGCTGACAGAACAACCATCATACAACTAAAAACACAACTCTTTCCCCAGTGGGCAGGATTCACTTTTGCCATGCCAGGTTGCTTTCAATATGTTGCATTTCTGCAAAAAAATTAATAAATATTTTTTCTAGAAAATCCCTAAAGATGAATTGCAGCCATCATCTTCACAATTGAATGACATTAAATGTTCAATGCAGTAACTATAGAATCTTCCCCACGTGCCAAACAGGTTTTTGTATAAGGACCATCTCAAAAAGTGAATATATTGTGGTGGGTCCTATATTATTTTCTTCCTGTTCTTAGTAAATCTCAAAAAGCTGAAATGGAAGGATTCTGAATGAAATCACTGAGGTACAGATAAAAATAGAGACATTTGGGACTATCAAAAACATGGGAATTCAATCAAAAAATCAAATGCTTTAGTTGAATGCTTAAAAATCTGAGAAATTGTAGCTGAGGACACATTTCAGCAGCTTCTGTCAATATTCTACAAGCTTTTATTTCTGCTTATGTAACCAAGCTGGGAGAAGAAGACATTTGCAGTAACCTTCAAACCCCTGAAAAATAACATTTCCATTCATGTCGGTACTCTCCCACACACATCTGCTGCTCTAGCTCTTTTATCGTGTGTTTTATGTCTTTTTGTGCATTGTTGGACTGTGTTTTTTATGTGGAAGGCTTGAGCAAACTTGTCACCTCATTTTGTCCGTGCCAGCTCTTTGTTCAAATAAATATTCAAATGTAAATGAAGGCCAGTAAATGTAGTCATAAAATATTAACAGTAACTTTCTATCATGCATAACAAACTAGCTTTTGATCCAACACTGAGCAAAGAATAATAGCACTCTGGAGTAAACACAATGTTTCTACATGATGTAATCAAGTAACAGATCCAAAACACCACAGTCGGCACGTAAAAATAAATGATGCTATTTTTATGGTAATGGCATGTCTGCCTTGCTCATGAATGTTAACTAGAAGAGGGGTCTGTCTTGGTTGTGATTCAGCAAAAGCTCAGAAAAAGAGTGGGACACATGGATTGGGTCTATGACCAAAATATGACAGTGCTCACTTCTAAAATCAGAAGTGCAGGCGGGATTAAAAAGAGTGAAATATTTCATTGCATTTAATTGTAAAATAGAAACTTTCCAACATAAAAGTGATCCGTTTAATTGGCAGATTTGGGTATTTTGCTGATTATACAGATGATACTACTGCGAAAGCAAACAAACTCGATCTGTTACCCTTCTGACAGCATCTTCTTGACCCTCTCCTTCTCGGCCGTCAGCTCCACTTCAGCACTCTTGCTGCGAAACAGCTTCTCCTCCCCAGGCCCGTTGACTGTCAGCAGCGGCGGAGAGTGACGATCCTCCGACAGCTCCTGCGGCACAACGAGTTACGGAGAAGAAAAAATGCCAGAGCTTCTCAGAGATGGAAACGGCTTAAGGAAAAAACACAAACATCTCTCATGCATGCGTGGAGATATTGTGCCTGTTGGTACTCGATGCGTCCCATCTGGGCTGCCGTAAACGGGCCCTGAGCAGATGTGATGCGTGCAGCCGGGTGCTTTGTTTGATTGGATTCAACAGGAATAACCTGATGTGCAGATTCTCATTCCAGATGCTCACCTTTTGTTTGTGTTTGCATTAAAAAAAAAACATTATGTAATTGTCCTGCCTTGCGAGAGTCAGCACAATAATTACATGTACTGTGAATCTGACAGCAAGAAGCGCTAATTAAGAGAACATTTTTATTAGTATTCCCAATTTAATTATGTCGCAGTAATCTTAGATGTCAATTTGAATCGAGTTTGAGTTCAAATGAAACTACATAATGGCAGAATTTGTTGTCTATTGTTTAGTATAGAGGGTTCTTGAACTAAACTAAAGGGTTCTTTACTTAGGTTCAGGCCCCACTGATAGACTTCCTAATTGAAAGTCTGGAGTGGCTGAGTGGCTGGAGTTTGGGAGAGAGAGGCAGTGAATACATGAATGCGAATCATGAGGGCAAATTGCTCTGCCCTGGCTGAAGTACATGCAATAGAAATAAAGTGAGGGGATAAGTGGGCTCAGACGTCCTTTGTAATTTCTGCCTGACATGAATGTCTGAAATGGTAACCTTATAAAAGGGAAAAAAAAATCCACAAAATCACTTCTGGCTGCTCCTTTCTGCTATTGCCAATCGTGTCGTGAAGGGCTGGACGAGGCAACGTCCTGCTGCTAAAAAAGCTGCTTTTGCTATTCTTATGTTTAATTGTACATTTTACCGCAGTTTAAGTAATTGCCACCTGTAATCAATAGTGCTTTATCTGTCAAATATTGCTTTTTGCCATGTGGAAATTAAGCATTTTATCTTGGCCGGTCAACAAATAACTTGCTTGATTAAGTAATTATCATAAGAGAAATATAAAATGGCAGACTGCCTTCTCAACAAACACATTGACTGGTTTTTCATTATTATTGTCACCTCCATAATCAAGCCAGACCTAGTATCAAACTAATATTGCAGCATTGGTAAGGACTACAAACTGATTAACTGGTATTTTAAACTGATGTTGCCCTTAAGACTGACTGAATGGATCTGCAGTCTGAAACTTATTTCTAGGCTTTGACCCAACTTCAAGTTCTTCTATTGGAGATTTGTTTAAAGAGATGCAATCCTCTGGAGCTGAAAGTCAGCATTTATTTTCCAATCTTTCTTGAGAGTAAACTTCAGTGCGATGTAAAGCTTAAACAAACCGAGCAGCAATGCGGATAAAGATGAACCCTTTTTCTTCCCCACATTTAAAAGAGACAGGCTATAACATCACACACATGTCAAATCCAGCCTGTTCTAACCAGTTTGCCTTGATATTTTCGTTCCGGGCTGACCACAAAAGTCCTGTCACGCAGTTGGGTGAAGTCTTTGCCTAAATTAGAGGCTGAAGGCTGAAAAAACTAATCGCCTTTTTGAAAAAGAGCACATGAAATGCAGTGGCTCAAGCACATTTCTGAACCACCCCATGTTTTCTCCTCTTATCAAGAAAAAAGATGAAAAAAAAAACTCAACTTGATCTTGTCAACTAGGAAGTTGCTCACTGAACGTTATAACATTGCACTCACTGTAGAGAGATGCTTTATAATTCATTTGAGCGAGCCCGACTGAACTCCCCTGAGGACCACAGTTTATTATCTCGGTCTCAGCGGCGTTCAGGCTCTCCTCGTGGACGGGTGAGGACTTAAAACGCAGAAAACTGACTCATGCTGATGAGCTCTGTGTCCAGAGAAAACCCACATGGAGGAGATGGGAAAAATGAACCCGAAAACTACGAGATAACTTTAGTCTGCCCCCAAAGCATACAGATCGGCCTGGTGTATCCCTGAATAATTAATATGACAGATCATGTTTAAGTCATAAATGGGATTACAAATTTACAGCAGTTTTTCCATATGCTGACAGACTGAGGGGATGCAATGGAGACATTAACGTACAATTGGTTCGACAAAAAATTAATTAATTAATCAACCAATGGGAATTAACCAGCTCGTCCAAAAAAAATCTAATCTGCATGTATGCATGTCATCTTATTACATGTTTGATATTAGTAAAACAGTTGATGTCTAGTTAACCATATGAGAAAGAGGACTATGTTAAACAAGTATATTTAACATTCTGTATTGTTGCTTCTTTCCTTAAAGTTTCCTCTCTTCTGCCGCTGAGTTTAAAAACTGAATTTGTTCTGAACTCATTAGACTGAAGATGACTGAGCTCAATGGGCGCATGTTAAAATTAGCTGTTGTTTTTCTGATTAAAGGACAAATGCATTTTAAAAGACAGAAAAACTTTGCCTTTGCATTGTTGTGCGTTCTTACCTGGGACAGCTGAAAGGGAGAAACATGTCCCACGATGCATAGGGAAAGAGAAAGAGGATAATTTTTATTTTTTTGTAAAACAGTGGATGAAAACAATTCCTGTCATTTAAATGACAATGAACTACCCACACATCCAAGTTATCTCCACAATGTGTTTATGACCACTTGACATTTACAGGGGACACCATATCAGTGTGAATAATGTCAGACCTCACAACTATGGGGACTTTAACACTTCACGGGAGAGAAACCACACTGAATACACAGTGGAATTCTTGATATTTGAAATATTCAGTAACTTTCTTACGAGCTTTCCTCGTGACATCGCTTCAGCACTGTTTGTCTTAAGTACATCTACACTGTTTACTTATTTATCTAAGCATTAGTCCATTTTCTCCCTTGGCTCTCTAAAATTCCAATTTTTTTCCCCCCCTGCTTTACTAATTCATGTCCCCATGCATTTGCACCAGTTTCCCTTACTTACCTGTCCCATATCCTACAAACAGAGCTGTACACATACATTCTTTTTTTTTAGTTTAATGCCAAGTCTGTGGTTTTTAAATATTAATAATCGTATCCCTCCCTGCCTCTCTGACTTCCTCTGCATAGATTCTAGACATGTGTAGAAGGATATGCAGAGAGGGGGAAAAGCTCCAATCAGCAGGCAGAAACTTAACTGTGACCCGTCAGAAGAAGGGAAGTGCTTCTGCTTCCATCTGTGCTGGCACTCTTTTTTTTTTTTTTTTTACATTCACTATGTAGTTAAAAAGATTCCGGCCTCTTTTTCCTACCAGACATATGAACAGATTTAACATGGATATCAATGAACAACTACTAACTTTGGCTAAGGATTTATTCATGCAAGACATAGACCTTTTTGGTGTTTAGACCTTTGTTTTTTTATTTCGTCGACTGCTTTAAGTGATAAGTTCCAACTTACCTGAATACACAACCAACAACACTCATAGGTTGTAATATACAGTATTGGTTAATAAAGATAATACTCAAAGATTAGCCGTCCTTTCTTTATATTTATAAAAAAAAATTATCTATTTTACCTTATCTAACAAACGTACGTGCAGAGATAAAAGCTGTACACTTAACATAATCATCGTCATAAAATATATTATTGTATCCTAGCTGAGTTAGTAAGTCATTGTGGTACATCTTGGAGCGACAGCACCCAAAGCATTCCAGTTCAATTTCTAGAAATCACATAGGCCTGAACCATGCATTGTTTTACCATTCAGATCACAATAGGTCAGACATTTGTGTTAAATGTGCAGTGCCAGACAGAAATGCTGAAGATTTGTTTACAAATCACAGGCTCTATTTGCCATTGAGCTGCACACACAGAGTGTGCATTCACACTGCACACCGGGCATGGTAAAAGAGGCAAAACACAGGAGAGGAACATTTGTTTCCAAAAGAAATGCACTGTCAGCAGAGGGGAAATATATTTAGAGATACTCAGGAAGATGCTAATAAAGACAAAAAGGCTTTTGTCAGCAGAACCTCTGAGTTGAAAAAAAAAATAGTTGGACTATTTGCTTTAAAAAAAAAAAAGTATAATTTGGACATAATGGTGTCGTGGTGACACAACACTCCATAAAAGTTAGCAGTTGACGACCAGAAAAGAAAGTTACATCTTTCTGGCCATCTTTGAGTAAATGTGCCAGTGTGTTTATTCTCTACTACTCATCTATTTATTTAACATTCACATTGCATTTCATATGATATGCAATGGCCTTATTACCGCTTATTGACCTCCAGAATTCTGTATGCATAGAAAATAAACCATGGTCTCCAGCATAGCACATTACACATTCATGTTTGAGGGCTTAGTTCTGATCAAGATCACAAGAAATTGAGAAATCTCCTTAAAAAATTCAGTGAATGTGACCGGTTTCAATAAATTCTTTTTCTTTTTTTTGTGGTATGTCATTCTTCATATACAGCTCACTGGCTTTACTCTCTCCTCCATTTCTGAGCTCTGTAAATAGAGCTGAAAGCTTCAGCTTTACTACATGTAGATCCCCTGCTGCTGCTCGCATATCAGAAAAAGGAACACGCACTCTGCAGCCGGAGGCTGCAAAGCTACAGCTCTGCCACACTGAAGACAGCCACTGACCGGGGCTGTTGCCCAGCAGCCGGCGGTGCTGCAACACAAAGACGGCGTCGACACAAACCAACAGGTTTGTGCGGGTTTTAGGAGTTTTTACAGCCACAATTTGTGACATTCTCATCCTTCTGTATTCTTTAAGTATTGACACAAATATTTGTGAAGTCCAACCACAAGCTATTAATTAATTTGTTTACAGAATGGAAATGTCCACGAGTTTCGAGGAAAGGACTTGGCGTTGGCACATATTGGCAACTGTTTATAAAGGCTTAACAGCTTCAAAAGTGCTCTTAACTGGCATTATCGCCGTACTCAAACATCAATATTTGGCACTGTAGCTCAGAAATGCCTCACCCTCATGAGCTCACAGCCCATAACAACGTAGATTAGGTATTACTGCCCTATTTCCCAGAGCTGCAGTCAACTAAAGCTGAACTAAGGTCTTTTATATCCGGTTTTCAGAGAATGGCTGAGATGTTCAAGTGTTCATTTATTTATTGCTACTCTGTCAGAGGGCTTTGTGGCTTTGTGGTGTTTCTGTATGTGCCTGATTGTGGGTTGTACAGTATAACATAACATCCAGAGGCAATTCTTGCCTGCCAACATGCAGCGGCAAGAAATCCATTTTGCACATGCAAAGTTGCCCGAAATAAAATATTAACACACAACCTGTGTGAAACAAGTTCGTCTGCCTTAAAATCCAGTTTGCGTTGACGACTTGGCCATGTTCTCTTCTCATTGATTTCCTTTGTGTGTTTGAGCAGCTATATTTCCTCTCACAATGAGGGCTGCAATTGTGGATTCCTGATAGGAAAATGCACAGTTGTCCTTCTGCACAACCATCAGAAAAGCAGGAGCTTGTTTATGTGAGACAAGCTCTCAGGACTGGAGACTTGCTATGTGGAGGTTTTGATTCAAGAAGAAAGCTAAGGATTCTTTTCTTCTTAAAGAAAAAGTATAAAAATGAATTCCATCTCCTCCATGATGACTGTTATTTCCTTTTAATCAATATCACTGACATGTGTGCAGTATTAATGCATTTAAAGGGCAGGCTGATCTAAAATATGCAGCAGGTCGGCGTACACACTCGCTCGCTGCAAATTCACTCGCATGTTGGCTCTCCTCCAAACTTACAACTAGGGACCAAGCTGGATGGCTCAAGTCCTCACAAGGTTCAGACAGCTTGATCCAGATGTTTGCACTGTGATATACCGTCATGCTGTTTGCCACCTAAGCTCTGATAGCAGAAAAAAAGTGAACCCTCCAAATAAAAAGGGATATTTTTAATTAGATAAGGAAAATAGAACATAATACTCCAATCATAACCAAGATGGTATGGAATGACTCCGTCTACACAGTAGCACGGCGGACAGTTTATTCATTTTAACATGACCAGGAAGGCACTGGAATCTGTTTCATCTTCAATAAAAATTCTAGGAGCCAGATTAATTCTCTCAGCTATGTCTCCTTAAAAGATGCTCACTAAGTCTTCCTCAAATCATGGGGCAATTAGTTAATAACTTCAAAGGTAATAAAGTCATTCTGATGTAAAATGAGTAGAGAGATGCCTCAGCCCCAAACCCCCTTCAACATGATGCAACTACACAGGTAAAACCTCAGAAAGAGAAAGGCGGGGGCCGTCTTTTAAACCTCGAATCTTTGATCCGTTTTTGTGCCGCTGAGCGGAGCGACGATAAACAAACGTCTTTGCTCAAAAGAACATTTACAAAAGGTTTCCCATCAAATGTCACATGCTGTGATAAAAATATTGCTCATTTCTGCAGAGGAATTCGTGTGGTGTTGACCTTCTCTATATCGATGCTCTGTGGTGGCGTTTTCAGACTTTTTTCTCTCCCAGCCATGCAAAATAAATAGCAGATAAACGCTGTCAGATCTTATCCGAGTGGCTCAGAGCTGATCCGAGGCCGCAGCTGGCAGCGTGACTCTGCGGTGTAGCAGACCCCGCTGAGCGCCTCTCAGGAAAAACACTAACACGAAGTATATACAAAACACAAGAAGCGTTTACCATTTTACATTTAAAGCTGCCGCACCAGCCCGAAGAGGCTCGGAAACAAGAAAGTAACCGACAGAAAAAGCAGAGCGGCTCTGAGCTCCGAATGCCTCGCATGTGACAGTTTACTTCATTTCTGCTAAATTAAATCACAGCCTGGCTGTGTGTGCTCTCATCGTGCTCATGTTGTCCCTGCTCTGGTGGGTGTTGTTCTCATATTTGGCCCCCATAAAAAGGGCCGCTTGAAAAGGTGGAGAAAAAGGCAGATCTTCTTCTACAGTCAAACTTTTATCAAGAAAGTCCAGGTACCAGCAGGGCCACGCTGGCCACAGAAGCCAGATTCCCCTCAATTATAGATGATTCAGCTCCCTCCCCTACTCTCCCCTCTCTATTCCCCATCTTCCTGATCCATCATTCTTCTTTCTCTCGGTCCTTGTCATTATTCCGTCGCCACACACCTTCAGCACCAGCGTCTCTTACTGCCTCCCCATCTCCATTTGTCACGCATGAAATCTTTAAATGGAGTTAACCATTGGGAGACTAATGAAGCGGCCAGATGGGGTTTCTTCTAATCCCTCACGTATATATTTAAAACTGAAACAAATTCTCTGGTTATGACTGCTCTCCCATTGCGGTTAAAGAGGCTATTTTGTCTTGTTGAGGCCACAAGGTTAGTTTTTAGAATACGAATCAGTTCTCCATCTCATGTGACCTCATGTGAGCAATTTTTACTGAAAAATCTTCATCTACGTTTTCATCTGAACTGTTAGTGGCGGTTGGCTTTTGTCTGCTTTTCCAGCACAACACGGACAATTTGGCTTTTTTCCTTTGCAGTGGTAGTTTCTCCTAGACTGATATGAACAATCGGGACATGGGCAGTTTGTTTGTTTTCCCTGGCTCACCTGGGGAGCTGCAATGTTGAGGCCAGGGTTGGCCAGTTCAAACCTCTCCTGGGATTTCTCCCTGGCCAGACGAGCCGCCTCCTTCACCTCCTTAAACTGCTCAGCAAACTGTGGGTGGAAGGAGACGGTGAGTCAAACCTGTGCGACGAACAACATTTCCTGCTACGTTCGACAAATTATTTGACAAGTAGCTTCATCATAGAACTAAACATGAAATATTCTGTGAATTCATCTTAACAATTTATACTGTCTGCGCAGAAGCAAATGAGGAACTATGGATGCACAAAATGTTGAACTAAGTGTTTGTTTCTTATTTCTTAATGTCAAATCACCCAACTACCTCCCTGAAAGAGATCAGATCTTTCTTTTTGGTGCTGCCAGAGTGTGTGTGAGTTAGTTCTTGCCTGCTGGAGCTGCTGCTCGGTGGAGAAGCCCAGGCCGTAAACGGTGTTGGCCCGGCTGTCCGCCCACTGCCCAAACTTCTGGGAGGTTTTGGTGAAAGTCATGTTGGGGGTGATGGTGCTGTTGATGATGGCCTGACACCACAGAAAATTCAAACGACAAACGTCAGGACCTTAACATTATCCAGAAAAAAAACACCCGAGTTGAAAGAGAGGGATGTAAGTGATGTACGTGTATGCAGTTTCAGTGACATTGGACACACTGAAAAACTGATTCCTACCAGAAGCGTTTCATGTTATGTGAATCCAAATCTTTAAAGCAACTACGGTAGCAGAGTCACAGTGCATACCCATCCCTATCGGCACGAGCTTGCATGCAGCTTCCTTTAATCAGAATCAGTCTAATTTTAAGAGACGATTGTCAGGGACAAATAATTCAAAATATCCAGAATGTACCAGCAAGGGTTGAAATAACAACCATCACCTTTAAATGTCAGACTCATTACAGTCGAGTGTTATTCTTCATAAGACCAGCAAATATGCTGATTGCCCTTCGGGAGGCCAGCTATTCAGTGCGCAGCAGCTCATCACAATAAACAGAATAATGTGGGAGCACCTTCAATTTTCTTCAGGATGCAAATGAGAAAAATAATCCAATAAACATCAATACCACAGCTCATTTTTACTTTGAATCAAAAGTGGCTTTTTGATCAACTTCCATAGCAGTTCTATATCCACAATGGGTGTCCGTTGGATAGCGGGGGATAAAGACTACCAGGGTAGAGGGAGAGAGAGCTCTGAGAGGAAGCTTGTCGGGGTGTGTGACGAGTTGCACATAAATATTCTCAAGCAAACAGCCAGATCAGGTGGATCTGTTCCCAAATTATTTCTTTAGTCCTTTATCCAAAAGCCTCCAGTCTCATGGGGAGAAGCTGGCACAAATGGCCTTGTTTTCTCCAAATTTCAGTTAATAGCAAAATGTCCTGTTAGAGTTTGGACTCCCAGGCACTTTAACATCACAGCGGATGCTCCATTACCGACGTGCGCGTTATAAATATTCTACTGACAATGTGCAGGGATCTAACTAATGCATCCTCACACCAGAGAACTATCCAGGCAGCAAACGTTCCCATTCATCTGGAGACTCTCCAGATATGCAGCAAAAAATGGGTGAATCAGAACAGATACTCCAAAATTAAAAAGTCACCTCAGCAACTTAATACTGGCACCAGATGAGCAAAATACGAGCCAATCAGTGAATGCTGCCCGCTGCGTTGCATGCTTGCCTCATAAGAAAAAACAGAATAATGCATACAAGCATTACAAATTCCTTTTGGTCGACTTCTTCTCTGATGCGTCTTTCGGGCAAAAGATGTTTACAAGACATGACCTTTGACACCACTCCTTTTCCCTTTTGATTCTACATAAAAATGTGGGCAGCTAAACGCAGCGTTTCCGGGTTTCCCACCTTGGTCCCGCCCACGCTGATGATGCGGTAGACGCTGCGGCTGGCGTCGTAGAAGAAGGACACGGTGACGGCATGTTTGCTGGCCGGCAGCCAGTTGCGTTTGGTGGCGGGATCGATCTGGAAGACGTGAGCTCTCACACTGAAGATGGGCTGCTCCCTAAAAAAAAGAAAAAAAAAGAATGAAAGAACCAGACTAAATCAAAATAATTTTACTGATGATTTGGTGTCACACCGAATGTCCGAATGGGCCTCTGGAGCTCTTTTTATGTCGTTCGTCTGCAGGTTTTGTGTCGTAAAGAGGGCCTGTTGGTACAATGCGTTATGTGCTTTTGCATAATAAATAGATAGAAGGAAAAATATTATTTTAATCAAATGATTTAGTTAAACTATTTCTTCATTGTTTTGAGGTTGCTTGGAATGAATAATTTATCTGTCATAGTTAACTGGATCTTTTGTATTTATCCAAATACGTGCACTTTACAGCTTATTTTTTCCTCAGCCAAATGAAATATCACAGCGAAATTAGTACATATACAGCAAAAATTTTCAGTGGCATCTTGTTTCAAATGTTTTGCCCTACCAGCATTGCTTCTTGTTGTGTAAATCTTATCTTAAAGACAGTGTAGTTTTCCATCATGGTTCATTTATCATTGAGCAATCTCCTCCAAAGTGGAAATCCGCCTTCTTTCCATTTTATGGAGCTCAAGTTTTATTTCTGCAACAGTTTCTCTTGGAAAGAAAAGGAATTCCCACCTCGTTTTATCATGAGGATCAGACACAAGAACACAAGAGCAACTAGAAAGGAACTCAGATTGTACATCCTCTGCATGGGCCAGTGTCCTATTTTCTTAAGACTGTGATCTGGATCAGTACGAGATTATGATTTGCTTTGCCTTTCCCCGTTCTCCACCTCTGCAGCAATAGTCTTAAAATGTGGCTTTTTTTGCATGATTGTCTGTGCAGACATACAGATTCAGTTCTGACTTTTTCTTCTTCAAGAAGAAAGTAGGATTTTTCTCAATAATAGGTTTTAGATTAATACGGTTTAGGTTTTACAAAAACAACACCTTCTGAAAGATAGAACTGAAGAAGGAGAATCAGCATGAGCACACCTGCTGTTGCTATTATACTGTGCTATCAGTCACTCTGCTCCTCGTGTCATTTTCGCCCCGGCACTAAATAAATCACCGTCAGTTTGAACTCTTCATCTGAAAGACAGAGTGGTGTGAGACTGAGGTCAGCCGCTGCATCTTTGGAAAGACATTTGCTTGCATATAGACCCATAAACAGGTTTTTCGTCCTCATTTCCTACATTTTGTCATTTCTCCTAATGTAGTCCTTTCGAACAAAAATGTACCCCAAGATACATTTACTAGCTGCAAGACCCCCTAGCTAAATATTCATACGTCTGGAGGCGGATGCATTTCTTCAATAATCATTGAAGAAAACAAACAACCATTTTTGTTTGACCAGGGGAGGTCACTGAAGATTTCCTGATGCAGAGGTCACATGTTTACACAACAGCGTGGGTGCTTTGGTGAATTCATGCAACTTTACACAGCTAATCAAGTTTTAACAAAGTAAATGTTTTCAATGAGCAGCTTCTCCTCGAGCTCTCAAGTCAAATATGTACGAACATCAATGAGAATAACGCGTGCTGGCAGGAGACTCCGGTCTTTGTCCGAGCCCGAGAAACAACCATTTATATAGGTCAGCAGCACAGCTATATTAAAGAATTGTTCTGGCTGGATTTGGTTGGAATTACTGAACATTTGCATACAGACAATGGTCCCCATTGTTTCTGCACAGATTGCTGAAGCTACAGTTGACAATATACAATAGCACCACAGCCAGAGATTCAGTTTTAGGCCGCGCCATTCTGCTCCAACTATAGATGCAAGAAACTTCTATTCCGTTATATCCTATTTACTGGACAAAAATAAAAACTGACTTTTTCAATATATTGTTAAACTGAGGAGACAATTCATTGCGTTTATAACTAATTGTCTCGATGATGTCAATAATGTGTAATTAGTAAGTCAGCCGCCTAAGTACACATAAAGTTCAATTAGCCACCTGTCAACAATAACATATACATGAAAATTGATTTTAAGAAGGTTTGATGAAATGCTGTTTAGGAGTGCTCTAGATTAATCATTACAGATGTTTAAAATACACATGTATATTAAAACATATATTACATAACAGCATGAATGCTCTGTATGTAAATGTTTCTTTTAATAAAAACCGGAAAGGAAAAAAAAAGTGGGGATTTTTCATAGCACAAAGACACACTCTTTAAAGTAAGGATGAAATGTCATTTGGGCAATAAAAATCAATCAAGTCAGCAAGTCAGCAAGCAATTTCCCAAAAGTAATCTGTCTCAAAATAACAGACCTAGATCAACTGTGCCATGAACACACTTAGTGAGGCCCAATGAAACTCATCGGAAGTAATAACCAGGACATTAATAAGAAATAATTATCCCATAAGCAAATAAGGCTCTGTCAGGATTTCCCCTCTATCATGTTCTTATCTTAATGAGAACTGATGAGTGACTGCTCATCAGCCATCGCAGCAGAAATTAAACTCCCGTCATTCATTTGGTCGGCGCTCGAACGTTTCTGGGAAAAGCTCGTCAAGCTAATCAGCTCAGACAGGAGGCATCATGCCGACGTTTGATAAAATGAACAGATTAAAAGGGGATTAAAGTGCTCCCTAGGTGAGCACAGGCGCTGCTCCGCTGCTTGTGGCCGAGGTCTCGTCTAAATGAACGCAGAGCGTGTCAAAAGAGCTCCTGTGCCAACTCGTGCTGTACACACACCGTATCCAATTAACATGAATGTGCGTAACTTTTAATTAAGTCGGGCGCCGTGTGAGAGAAGCCTGGCACCACTGTGTGGAAGGCTAACGTGACAGCACGTAAACATCTGAAGTGCCCAAAGAGAGCACAAACTAGATTACATTCAGGTTGAGCCGATGTGTTTTTCCTTCATTTTTTTACCTTCAAAATTTTGAACTGCATTGATAACACATGATCTGATCTTCGAACTTTGGCCTGGACCAGTCCACTAACTTAGATGCGGGTTTAATTCATTTATTTTTTGTCGTTTGCCCTTGTTCTGCTCCCTCAGACTGAACATTCCCTCTGCATCATCTGAATTACTCATTAGAATCTTGTGGAAAGACGAGTCTGGATCTAGTTCAGTTCTAACATCCTAAAACTCTGGATGGCTTCTCTTTGATATAAATCAAGGATCCAACCCCTGAAGACCCAGACACGTCTCCTCACTGACGACAAAGGTCACTGGCGCTCAAGATTTTCTTCTAAGACAGTGTAATGTCATGTCCTGGTTATCATTTCTTTTGCATTGAAGGATAATTCTAGGGCTGAGACCAGTTCCACTAGAGCTATATTTTAAACCCGTGGTAATACAGTCGTAAAACCTCTCTCCATTTCATACCCAAACTGAATTTACGGCAGTTCTGGTACAGAGTCAGCGCTTCTCTTCAGGAAGCCAACACTCCATAAAGATCAACATGCCTGTGGGATCACCCCAGCCTGACGTCAGAAACGCATCCCTTCTTAAAAGAATGGCTGGGCATTTAAGCAGCTTGGCACTGCACTCAGGCCGACACACAGCAGGAAGTGGCTCGGTCCATCCATGACAGTGCCTGGCACTTTGATTGAGAATCTGTTAGCTTGTCGGCCTGTTTCCACCTCTAGAATTCCTGCCGCCCGTCCCCGTCTATCAGCGCTGTCCAGTCTCTGGACCACTACCACGACCACTACCCTCAGGACCCGAATTCAGGTCAATGAGATATGCTCATGAGATCGTACACAGACGCATGTCGGGGTCTCTGCACAGAAAACTGACTCACGTGGAAATATAATGAAACACGTTTCGCATGAATATGTCTGGATATGAATTTCCTTAGAGTTGAAATGTTGTGTTTGCACTGTGGGAAGCTTTGTCATAATTCTAACAGCAAACTACCACACTGGACAGACATCAGGACACAGTGAAGCTGAACTCGGACACTGATCAGGACTGTCACTTTGAATCTATACGGAATGCAATTACTGTATCATCCCAGTGGAATCGTTATATCGAAGTGCTTTTTTTATTTTACTCAAGTGAAACCCAACAACTGAATCAATGTATTTATCTGCTGCCTGGAGGCTGTAAAGCAACATGCTGATTACCAAGCTGATGACCTCAATATGAAAACGGGTGAAGTAGATCAATTATTGTTAATCTTTTTCCAGGTCAAAAACGTTCAGCCATCCTCCCCCCCGTCATTCTCCACGCATGACTGAGCTGTGCTCAGGCTACACCTCGGTAATTAAAGGGGTCAAGAACGCGCAAAACGTATGACGTCAGGCAGTTTTTCAAAAGCACCTGCGCACTTCTCACAGAAGGCCGCGGAATGCCACACAGACCAAGGACATCTGCCGAGAACGCGGGCTGAAGGCAGCGTCGCGTTTGCGATAACCTTACTCTTTAATACTTGCCGTGTCTGTACTTTTCATGAGGCATCAGTCCCAGATCTGTCTGCGTCCCACCGGATAAAATGTCAGCGTCGCATTTTAATTCATCCAGAGGTGAAAAGTAGGTGATGAAGAAATACAGGTAGCAGAACCGTCTCGGTTACAGCATCACAGGAATTCGAGTGGCAATAGAATTTTTGTGAAGCTGTCTACTGAAAGGTAATGCTAGTAATGATGTTCCTGTTTGAAAAAAAAAAAAAACTCACATAAGTGTCCTTCCTCTAGGGAGGTCAAACAGTGGCATGTAGTATTCAATCAGGCCTAAACACGGGCTTTATGTGCAGCGTAAGCTACAACGAAAATATCTATATTTCGCCCTTTGGGAAGTCAGCTTTCCTTTTTAAGTACAAGTACAAATGATGATGGAAGCGTTAAGTAAGTTTCCCTTCTGGGAACAACACATTTTTCCAACAAATTTCCTTTGGGTTTGAAGTGCAAGCAAACACGTGCCCATAAAAGAGGCCTGTTAAAAAGAAAAAACCACAAGAAGAAATAAACAATGACCCAATTTCCATGGATATAACCTTCCCCCATTTTGGAAAATTTACACTTCAAAACCAAACACTGTCGGCCTTTGATGATTATTCATCTCAACAAGATGGATGAAAACGCAAAAATATACAATCTGTGCATTTATGCCTTTATGATTTTAAACAGCAAACATTCAGCACACATTTTAACATTTCAAACAACTATACAATGAAAACTCAACACAACCTACTTTGCTCCTAACTAAAAGGGTAGAAAAAGAAAGAAAACCACCATGGACTGTGAATTCAAAGCTTTAAGGGGAAACAGAAAAATAACAGAACAAATTGAAGCGCTGTCCCTGAAGCTAACACCTTCCAGGTGGGTGGTCTCAGTTATTTCTATAATTCCCAGAGTTACACAAACTTAAATCAACCTAAATTTTAAAGGTGAATTGTACATTTTAACTTGTTTTTTTAAACCAAGAAATCCCATTGGTTTATTTTTAATTGAACACTTTTTTCTTCAATAAGAATAGCGACTACATTATTTCATTTTTTATTGACCTGTTTTCTGGGTAAGTGTGAAAGAAAAATAAACTTCCATAAAAAAAAATGTTTCTAAACAAATCTGGGAGTCACAGGAGTGAAACCTCCTGGATCGAATGGGGACGACGGCTGTCTGCACACATCCACAGCTCGAGTCTGCAGAAGCATCTGTCCTCTGGGTGAATCTGATGTGCTGCCAACTGCTGGCTTAAAAACTACACCTTCCTGCAATAAAACTTCTCAGCTTGTTGCCAGAGAGCGATCTTTGTTTTCAATATATTTTTCCCCCAACCGTCAGAGAAAGGCAGTCAAACAAAAGGAGCCCGAGCTGAAGTTTTAAGTCGCTTTTTATCCGCAAACTCGGCCCAAACTACCATTTAAGAGCTCTGAAATGACACCAGAGAGACCGGGAGTCACGCGGGCCCGAGGTGATCGGCTGGATTCCTCCCTCATGATAAATTGATTGCCGTGAATCGCTCGGATGAAATGTGAGAAAGTGGCCGTACATGCAGGATCAGAGCTCGGACGAAATGTCCAGCTGAGGCTACAAAACTGTCCCCCTTTGTCCCGCGGCCTCGTCTTCTGGTGAGGCCTCTACTGAGCTCTCTCTCAGCCTCACATTTGCACAAATCAAATGATTCTCCAGAGGAACAGGAAAATATTACGGGAGTATTTTGGCCGCCGCTTGCATAATAGGCCACAAACAGACAGCTCCATATGGGAAGTTGAACAACAGTCGGTAGAGACATAGAGAGGCTGAGCTTTCAACAGGGAGCCCTCACACAACAAGTCTTTAATACACTTCCTCTGACCTCTGTGGCTGCACTCACTCTGCAGGCATCCACGCTCTGTATCAAATTACAGCTCAGACACCCCAGATAGCGGTTCAATGCCTCCACCGGGATGAAAAATGCATCTCGCACGGATTCAAATTGACAGTCACGTCGGAAAATAATCGAGTGTAACTCGATTATTGAAGACAACCCACATTTAATAATGATCCGCATACAAAACCAGTTAAGGTGGAAGGAATCGATGCATCTCTCCACTGTTGTGGAAATGTAAACATTTCTTTTTGTTGCCTTCGGGTGACGCGCTGCATCCCTGTTTATTCATTTAATGGCAAAAATGTGCGTAAACAAAAAGTGACTCAACTTTCTGTTAACTCTCCTTGTTCAGATTTCTTGCACGACTCTACTTAAAGTTCTGTTTTAATGGGACAAATAATCCTGTGCCATGTGAGCCCCACCCCCCCCACCAAAAAAAGCAAAGACTAATGATCACAGAGATGAAAATGAATTCAGACAAGC